CGCGATGCGGGCTGCTGGGGTTGGGGGTCTAAGCTCAGGGTTTAGGGTCTTAGTTTGCCTGGAACTTGTCTTCTTTTTCGGGCAGCCTTGTAGCAGGATGTCGTATTTCATGCAAAGCACGGTTTCTCCAGTTGATAGGTGCAGATGGACAAGCAGTGCCTTCGAATTGTGGACACACGATGTATTGGAAAGCATTGCAGGTGCTATGCACGCATTCTGCAGACCTGGTTGTCGACAACCCCTAAAGTCTACGCCTTTACACCTAAAGCTCCACCCCAAACGCTCGAAACCCCAAAAGCCCGAGCCTTCCGTGGGGTGAGCGCCCTAAAAAACCCGAAGCCTTCCGACACCCAAGCTGATCGAAGCTTCTCAGGATGCGGTTGCAGTTTGAGAACCACTTGATTCAGAAAGGCCACCAAAGGGTCTCTGCCGTCAGAGATGTTTGGAGCTTTGGGGTTGCAAAGGGCTTTGAAGTGAAGGAAAGCATGTCCTTCGTTGCTGCGTGCTGCATGCAGTTGGCTGCCGCGGCCAGCTAGGTTGCCATGTAGACCTTCTGAGTGAGGATCGCAGGGCAAAGAGAGAGAGAGAGGGAGAGTGGGGAGGCAACTCCCCACCACAGCCCTGGGGAAAGAAAGGGAGAGTGAGGACACTAGGGAAGAGAACAGAAGAGAAGAAAAGGGAGCGAGCCAGTGAATGACCACATAGCTTTTGCACACGAGAAAGCACGTACTAGCTGCGACATGCCTTGCACCACCTGTGCCCCCTAGTGGGGTTCGTGTCTACAAGACCCAGAAGTTACCCTAAACCCTAAAACCTGAACCCTAAACCCTGTTTAAAGAAACGCTAGACCCTGAACCCTTCACCCTAAACCCTAAGCCCTAAACCCTAAGCTCTGAACCCCAGCTCCGAGTCGCACCATCTGCGCCAGGCTTTGACTCCAATACCCCTTAATTAATTAAGGAATATACCTTAAATCATATCAGGGATCCTACTATAATTTAAGGTATATTCCTTAATTAAGGGGTATTGGAGTCTCTTTGCAGGCTTTGACTCCAACCCCTGCGTCGAGTCAGCCGCCGACTTCCCCCTGGCGACGAAAGGCGCCGCCTTCACCCGAAATCTGATCGGTGGCGCCTCGGGCAGCGAGGACATCTTGAAAGTTCAGGGTGTAGGGTTTAGGGTTTGGGGTTTTGGGGTTTGGGGTTGGGGTTTGGGGTTTGGGGTTTAGGGTTTAGGGTTTAGGGGTTTAGGGGTTTAGGGGTTTAGGGTTTAGGGTTTAGGGTTGCCCAGCTGATAACAAAGAAAAAAGGATTTAGGGTTGAAGGTCAGGTATAGAGGGGTTTAGGGTGGAGGTTGGACTAGGATTCAAGAAATGAGTGTGTCGGGTTTACAGTAGGGTTCAGGGACCAGGAGTCCCGTGCATGTGACGGGCAACTGGGTTCCCCTTCGATTCTGAAACGCCCTACTAGTAGAACCCTATACAACCCTTCTATAACCTTCTGAAGCCCCTAAACGCAGAACCCTAATTCCGAAGGCCTAAAAATTCTCCCGACAGGAAGACCGTGAGAAGTGCCAGAGTGCCGTCACTGAGTTTCTGGAGAGCGACCTCGCACTCCAGAGGTGGAAGACGGGATCTGGCTGCTATGAGCTACCGGGCCGATAGAGAACACGTCCAGGGCTCGAGCTGGGGTTTTGGGTTTAGGGGTTTAGGGTTTAGGGGTTTAGGGTTTAGGGTTTAGGGATCCTGCATCGTTTCTGTACTCAGTAGTAGGAGGATAACCCCCAAGCTTCGTTCCCCGGATCCCCAAAACCCAAACCCTACATCCCAAACTTTAAATCCTAAGCCCCCAGCCCCGCCCATTCGAGAGGGAAACCCCGAACCCCGAACCTGAAACCCGAAACCCCGAACCCCTAAACCTGAACCCCTAAACCCTAAACCCTAAACCCTAAACCCTAAACCCTAAACCCCTAAACCCGAAACCCGAAACCCCAAAGCCCCCCCTCCCTGGGCCGAGGTTGGCGGCCTCGGTGTCCCATTGGGGCCTGCTGACCTCCTTCGCGCGCGTCAGGGCGGAGAGATCCGACATCAAATGGCGCCGGGACCCTATATAGGGTTTAGGGTTTAGGGTTTAGGGTTTAGGGTTTAGGGTTTGGGGAACTTCGGAAGACATACAGTTGATGGACAAAATCCTGCATGACCTTATATACCTAAACTATGGGATTTATGGTGCTATACTATATTTGGGTCATGCAGAATTTGGTCCATCAACAGTGTGGGAGTTTTTGGAGATAAGGGGGTACCTTATTTTGGGGTCCTTATAATAAGGATCCGACTATTTGAGGCACTATAAAAGGGTCCCCTACTTTCGGAAACCCCAAAATCTGAGAGAATATATAGGGACCGTAAAAGGGTATGAATACTTGTTACTAGTTATTCAGAAAAGGCTGTGACAGGAGTTCTTAAACCAAGAGTTTTTGGAAGAAGGAGCTCCTTGCAGAA